CTGGATCACCCTGCCTCGGAGCATGCTGGCCCACTTGGAATGGTGTTCATCCATACAGGCCCACTTGCATGGGTCTTGTAGTACCATGTCCTGGTCAGTCCACCATGACAAACACTGATGAACATGGGCAAACATTTGTGAACATCAGTCCAGCATGGATGGCCCTGAGTAAACATACTGGAGCACTTGTTTACTTGTTTGGAATGCATTAATCAGCTTTTCCAGACTCCCCTAGGTCGATTGCATGTCTGGTAATACAAATAAAATACATCAGATAACATATCAATGTTCCTGTCTGACCACTCTCCCTCATGGCATGCTGGACCATTTGAAGTGGTGTTCGTCCCTCCTAGATCAATTGCAATTGACCTTGCTAGGACATTTACAGGTCCATACAGCCAGACGAACACCAACGAACACCAATGAACATCACTCCAGAAGCAATGCCCCTGTCCACATTGACTGGGACACCCTGCGGACTTGTGTGGAATGCATTAATCACTTTTCCCAGACTCTCCTAGGTCTATTGCATGTCTGGTAATACAACCAAAATACATCTTATAACATTCTGATGTTCCCATCTGACCACTCCCCCTTGGAGCATGCTGGGCTGCTTGACGTGGTGTTCATCCCCCCTAGCTCAATTGCAATTGACCTGTTCTGAACATGTCTAGGTCTGTACAGCAGGGCGAACACCAACACACACCGAAGAACACTGTTCCAGAACCAAAGCCCCTGTCCACATTGACTGGGACACCCTGTGACTTGTTTGAGTGTGCTAACCACTTTGCCTGACTCTCCTAGGTCTATTGCATGTCTGGTAATACAACCTAATACATTATAACATCAATGATGTCTGACCACTCCCCTCATGAGCATGCTGGCTTGAAGTGGTGTTTCCCCCCTAGCCACAATTGACCTAATTTGACATCCACAGGTCCATACAGCAGGACGAACATGACAACACAAGAACACCAATGAACATTGATCCAGAACCAAAGCCCCTGTCCACATTGACTGGGACACCCTGTGACTTGTTTAGAGTGTGCTAACCATCTTTGCCTGACTCCTGTCTATTGCATGTTGCATGTTGTAATACAACCTACATACTAAACATACCAATGATCCTGTCTGACCACTCCCCATCATGGCTGCCTGGACCCTTGAAGTGGTGTTCGTCCCCCCTAGGACCACTGCAATCGACCTAATTTGGACATCCACAGGTCCATACAGCAGACGAACCCCATGAACACCAAGAACAGCAAACACAAACAAACACCAATGAACATTGATCCAGAACTGAAGCCCCTGTCCACATTGACTTGGACACCCTGCAACTTGTGTAGAGTGCACTAACTATCTTTCCCCAACTCTGCTATGTCTATTGCATGTCTGGTAATACAACTAAAATACATCTTAAAACATACCAATGTTCCCATCTGACCACTCCTCCTCAGAGCATGCCGGATCACTTGAAGTGGTGTTCGTCCCCCCTCGGACCACCTCAATCGACCTAATTGGGTCATCCACAGGTCCATACAGCAGGACGAACCCCATCGAACACCAAAGAACAGCAACCCACACCAATGAACATTGATCCAGAACCGAAGCCCCTGTCCACATTGATTGGGACACCCTGCGACTTGTTTAGAGTGCACTAACTATCTTTCCCTGACTCTCCTATGTCTATTGCATGTCTGGTAATACAACTAAAATACATCTTAAAACATACCAATGTTCCTGTCTGACCACTCCTCCTCGGAGCATGCTGGATCACTTGTAGTGGTGTTCGTCCCCCCTTGGACCACCTCAATTCGACCTAATTTGGACATCCACAGGTCTGTACAGCAGGACGAACCCCATCGAACACCAATGAACACCAACAAACACGAACAAACACCAATGAACATTGATCCAGAACCAAAGCCCCTGTCCACATTGACTGTGACACCCTATGACTTGTTTCGAGTGCACTAACCATCTTTCCCTGACTCTCCTAGGGTCTATTGCATGTCTGGTAATACAACTAAAATACATGATATAACATACCAATGTTCCCATCTGACCACTCCTCCTCAGAGCATGCTGGATCGCTTGAAATGGTGTTCGTCCCCCTAGGACCACCTCAATCAGCCTAATTTGGACATCCACAGGTCTGTACAGCAGGACGAACACTGATGATCACCAATGAACATTGATCCATAACTGAAGCCCCTGTCCACATTGACTGGGACACCCTGAGACCTGTTTCAAGTGTACTAATCATCTTTTGCTGACTCCCCTAGGTCTATTGCATGTCTTGTAATACACATAACATACATAGTATAACATACCAACATTTCCATCTGACCACTCCTCCTTGGGGCATGCTGGACCCCTTGAAGTGGTGTTCGTCCCCACTAGGACCACCTCAATCGACCTAATTTGGACATCCACAGGTCCATACAACAGGACGAACCCCATCGAACACCAATGAACAGCAACACAGCACCAACAAACACCAATGAACATTGATCCAGAACCAAAGCCCCTGTCCACATTGACTGGGACACCCTGAGACCTGTTTCCAGTGCACTAACCATCTTTCCCTGACTCTCCTATGTCTATTGCATGTCTGGTAATACAACTACAATCCATCTTATAACATACCAATGTTCCCATCTGACCACTCCTCCTCGGAGCATGCTGGACCCCTTGAAGTGCATCAACTGAGTGCACAGAGTGCATCGACCGAGCGCACAGAGTGCACCACAAGTTGGCACCACATCATTGATACATGGGGAACTGGATGAACAGAATTCATCACTGTCTCCCTCTGTACCCATACCCTTGCCTTCCCCCTCCCCATCCCTCTGCTTCCCTCTATGAGGTGGCCTTGCCTCTTCTTGCTGGAGCCTTTCGAGCATTCTTTGCCTTTGATGACTTCTTAGTCTGTGCCTCTTTCAGCCTCTGCCTTTCTAAGATGAGGGCCTTGCTAGCCAGCAGTTCGTCATATCCAGCATGCTCCAGGAGCTCCATCTGCAGTGCATTCCTGGGCTTTACCACTCGAGATGCTCGTCTCCTGGCCTGTTGCTGTTCCTTCTCGGTGGAGATACCCTCGATCTTGTAGAACTTGGGATTTGTCACCAGAACCACCTTCTCACCCTCCACCCGCCATGTCTTCCCAGGACTCTTTTCACTCCCTTTGGTCGCATCAGGTAATGTCTGAAGGACAGAAAATATCCTGCCAAGGTGGTCCAGCACCTCAAACTCCTCCAGGGGTGTCCTGTTCTTCATCACCTGGTGATACTCCCAAATATAGCCAGGCTTCGTCCAGAAGACATTCCATGGTGACCTCCGTGAAGGTTGTCCTGCTGTGGGTCCTGGGAAAAACAGGTTGACCCTCTCTGCAAAGCTTGACTGTCGGCGACCAGCCCCTCCACTCCCTGCAATTTCTGCATTGCAGGCCTTGAATTCACAGGCACGTATTGTCCTGAAGGTCTGGTTCAGAGTCCAACTCTGAATGGCTTCTTCCAAAGATGTTGGCTCTGGTTTTCCCTCTGAGCCTGTCAGCCAAGTCGCATCCAACTGGATCCAAAGCTGACAGGTAAACAGAACGAAAAGTTTCCCTACCACTGGCCCCAGACTGGACAGTTGGGCCGACCACTTCCAGTCCTGCATGATCAACCAAGGCTGCAGTTGGATGGTCCTTGTCAATTTGGCCCACGTCGGTCTGCTGCCAATGGGAAATTGTTCCACTTCGTCCAGAGGGGGAATCCTTGGCCAGGCAGGTCGTCCATCACCCCTCTTCAACTTTCCCTCCATCAGCTTGAGCACCTCCAGGTCGTCATGATCCTGAACTTCTGGAAGATGGGGGACATGATGCAAGTCCAGGTCCAAAAGGAAGAACATTCCAAACCGCTCACACACCCTGGAGACCTGCAGAAGGGCCATGGACTCTCTCACATGGAAGTCAAGGATTATTGCAGTGGTGGACGTGCACCGAATCATGTGGCAGATGATGCCAGTCAGAATCCCAAGGTTGGGTGGTTCCAGTTCCTTGAGAGAGATCTGAGCCAACTGGAGGGCCCTGATGCGTCTAGCCATAAATTCCAACCAGACTTTGGTCGGGATCCAGAGAATGGGATTGGAGGCTAAAAGCTCTTCCATCTGCAAAGATGGAAGCATCAGATATGAGCATGATGGAGCTTGGAAATGCATCACCCTTTGTGGCACCACCAGTATTGCCTGCTCCACTGCAGCCCCACTCATCCTGTACTCGTCTCGCACCCCATATGACCTCTTCTTTGCATCTCCAGAATACATGTTGATGGCCTGCATGCATTCCCCAATGAAGTCATTGTTCAGGGCATAAGCATCCTTGTCCATGACAAAGGTGGGGCTGTTGTCGTTGGGTCGGATCACCTCGTAGGCCAGATTATATGCACTTCTGAATGCAATGTGAGTTTGCCTTGCTCGCTCCTGTGACATCTCTGCTTGGATCCCCCCATACCGTCCAAGCATGCAAGTGTGGTGGGCATTTCCTCGCAAATATCCACCTGCCCCAAAGGAAGCTTCCAGGGCATCCAGTCTCCACAATCCAACGAGCTTTTCATCACATGTGGGGTGAATGCTGATTCCCAAGTCGACCAAGAGCTCCCCATTGGCCCTGTCTACCATGTGGGACCAATCCAGAGCTGGAAGTCCATGGAGGAGAGCTTGGACTGGCGTTTGAACGGCTCCTGACAGGGTGGTTTTCGTCCACAACTTGATTCCCTTGCATTCCAGGACAAAGAAGAAGGAACCATAGTTTGCAAATCGTGAAGGGTCCTCTCGGATGATTGCCTCCATGGTACTTCTGGATCTGCTTCAACACTTGCATTAGAAAAGGGGACTGCTTTTGGCCGACCAGCCTTCTTGGTTTTGCCACCCTTTCGTGCCTTGAACTGCACTTCCTTCAGAGTGAGAGAGACATATGGTGCACTCGAAACATCTGCATGTGCATGGATCGCTGGAAGTAGGACATGCTCCCAGAAAAAGTCAAGGACCTCCTTTGGGATGCGATTGGCACGCTTGTGTGTCATCTCATCCCTGTGGATCATCCTGGGGAAGCAAATGTAGACATTCATGGTGCCAGCAGCGTTGCTCAAGGCACCAAACACTGTGTGAGGTACTCCACACAGAGGAAATGCCATGGTCAACCATTCGGTACGGCTTCCGATGGCACTGGAATCTGCCTCTGACTGAGGCACGAGGATGTCAACATACACATGATTGTGCTTGTGCATAGGAGCCTTTTCCTCGACGATGGGACCAAGGTAGATGGGCAGCGGTGTGTTGAACTGTAGGGAATGCGTCACCCATATGAGACTGTCAATGTCCACAGTGACTTCCAACTCCTCTGGAGTCACCAACTTGTGATCCAGCTCCAGGTCCAGGCAGATGTGACGCCCATCCTCATGCCGCCCATTCACAAAGGTGTTCACGAGACGTTCTGACGTGCTTGAGCCGATCTTGATCATCTGAGAGGCACCCAGTATGACCACATCATCCACATCGACTCTTGATGGATGGGGCACCTGCCGGGCAAGAGAGTAATTTCCTGGAATGAAGCAATCAGAAGAGGGCACCAGGGCAGGATATGAGTGCTCACCAGTAACATGGTCGCCGATTTGATGAGAAGACTGGTAGTTAGCTGGAACACCCACTTGGAGGATATGGTCTGACAATCTGATGGGGGGACCCAAGTAGAACATCTGGTTGAAGGAACTCAGCAGACGATAGCCATAATCTCGAAAGGACGTCCACATCCCAGGCCGATAGTAGGGCTCCTCCACGATCTCGTTGCAGTTGCGGTCCTGGTGCAAACTTTCCAAGACAGGTCCTCCTTCATACTCATCAAACCTGCGATTGAAAGGTTTCCATCGTTGACCTTGGTATGCAGGGAGGTATACCGGCGGAGTTGGACGTGGGAAACGGTACATCGTTCCAGCTGACCAGTCCTTGACATGCTTGTGTCGCTGGATGATCTCAAGGGGATCATCTGGAGTGGATTCCCCTTCAACTTGATGACCATGGGCAGCCCGAGGAGGAAGTCGATCCCTGGCTCTGGCCCTGCTCACATAAGGGTAGTGCCGAAGGAGATCCCTGAGACGCTGAGACTTGGCATCCAGAGGCAAACGATGGTCTTCACCTTCATCTTCAGTGTCAGTCGGAAAGTCACCATCGGAGTGCACATCAGGGTTCACTACATTGCTGGAGTCATCCCCCCTTCGGCAGCGAAGGCAGTTGGCCCCAATGACATTCAACTCACGGACGATGGTAGCATGTTGCTCTCCAGATGATTGGTTTTCCACATCCATGAGGATGTCTTCACTGATGGCTTTGGTGTCGTCCCACTGTGTCCATATGTGACTAGGGGGAAGGGTGGTTGTAGACAAGTAACAATAGTCCTCCCAGCACCTTCAACAGCCCTCCTTCACCATGACAAGCATTCGAAGGCGGAGACGATGACCACAAGGAATTGGAGGGATGTGGATGGTAGGCCTGCCATCACCAGATAGCCCCCCTCTCATGAGTGACTCCATGACAAAGGATGCAATGGGGCCACAGTTGAAACCGTTCTGTGACCAATTGTACACCTGCACATCAACTTGGGTTGGGTCGATGGCATCGAATCCATGAAGCGATGCTATGCGTGTCCAGTAGAAAGGGCCATTCCATGTGTTCCAGTCATCACGCAGTGGGTCATAGTGGGGATGAGGGGTTTCTGGGACACGTTCGATGCGCCTTCCAAGGATGAATGCAAGGTTCAACCAATAGTCAAAGACTGCAACAAAGAAGTGACTGTTTTGCATGACCACAAAGGCAATGGGAATGGATGGATTGGCAGGATGGGAATTGAAGAGATGGCGTTGACGAAAAAGTTGAATCTCCTGTGCATCTGGTAAGGCATGGGTGCCCCCACTGACAGATGGAATGACAGAGAACAAGTTGGCATAGCGGACATGCATTTTGCCCTGGACAGCATACCATTGGGACAGGAGATGAAAGTTGAGGATGCTGGCATCGATCCAAGTTTCATACCGGAGTGTCCCTAGGGTCTGGTAGGCCATCGCCCATGTGGTAGGCCTGGCCATGGAACACACTTTCAGAAGCGATCATAAGCAGATGGAGAGAGAGAGTACAGAAGAGACTCACTGATGATATCACGTACAGAAGGCACCCCTGACTCCTGACTCGAGTCCTGATGGGGTGGATGCGATGGTGCAACTGATGGGCCATGCACATTCACAAAGGAATCGTCAGAGGCATTGCTTTGATGCTCCTCTTCTGACCCACTCAAGTGGTTTACCATGGCCTGGCACTTCTCGTATATCTGGTTCAGTTCATCCTCATCAACAGAGGATTCTGGATCTTCTGGAGGAGTCATTGCTCTGGCAAGGAGACCACCCATTATTACACTGTAGGATGGGGACAGAGGAGAAGAGCATGCTGAGTCTGAATGATGAGATGGAGGAGAAATGGCCTTGATGACATTGTCAAATGCAAGTCTGATTTCACTTTCATCAGTGGAGGATGCATTGGAAGCAGCTCTGAGGACTCTCTGGGAACGTGTCTGGGGTGCCATGGCAGTGGAATGTTGGTTCTTTGCCGATCCCAAACACGTAATGCCACACCAAATCCAAAGAAAATTATTCAGGGTCTGCCCTGGCTAACCGAGAATTGCAAGCGACGTCACGGGTTACCCTCCGACTTTTTACTTCGCCTCCCAACCCAACATGGCCCCTCCATCCAACAGGACCTTTCTTTCCCTTCCATCATCCTCCAAGCTAAGTGGTAGGTCTTGATTAGACACCAGCAGTCATTTAAGCTCATCCAGCCAGTGACGAACCTCACCGGTGCAGGTGAAGACATCCTGGATGGAAGGGAGGAAGTTCCAGAACACATGACCCACACCTTCCAAAGAGGTGATAAGTAAGAAAAGACTGGGTGTGCATGTCATTTGCTGATGGAAGCTTTAATTAGCATCTTTGTAAATGGCGATGATGGCAGCCTGTGGTATGCTGTGATCAAGGACATCAGAGTCCAACAGTTGAAGAGAAGTAATGTAAGAGATTTCCAGTGCCACGTGGGTGTCCACCCTTCTGACGTGCAGTACAGAAGGCATGGGTTGAAGTGCAGTGGTACTACAGCAGGAGTGATATAGGAGACAAAAAGTGAGCTGGCTGTCATCGAGTTCCTTGTATCTTTGACTCACTCACAAACAGCATGAGAAAATACATTGGCAACAATGAGCTGGTTCTATCGGACCACAATGACATCATTGAACCAGAGGCCATCGTGTGTAAGTTATCCCTGAATTTTGTATACAGCTTGGAAGCTCATGGAGAGCATAGCGCCAGCAGACATCACATCTTTCAGTGCAGAAAGGTGTTTTGGTCCTCTGATAGGACCCAAGGATATGTATACATGGTGGACCATGAGCACACATGGTAAACAAGTCATCCAGGTATTGATAAATGGCATGACACCGATTGTTGAAAAACTCCTGACATAAACTACACCCCATCAGGGCCCCTTCCATGCTTGCTCTGTCTGTGAAAAACCATATAACCCAGACAAAGCTGAACAATGGTATTGTCGAACCTGCAAAAATTGGTTCCACTGCAGTTGTTTACAGAAACTCGCAAAGGGAAGCACCAGACCCCTGGACATCACAAAGGAAGTCCTAAATGGGACAGGTCTCTAATATTCTACTTTCCGGACCCTGCCCCAGGGTCCGCTTGCAACCTGCCTTATATGGAAGGTCGCATGCATGCAACCTGCACAGCCACTGAATGCAACCTCCATATAAGGAAGGTTGCATGCATGCAACCTGCACAGCCACTGAATGCAACCACCATATAAGGAAGGTTGCATGCATGCAACCTGCACAGCCACTGCATGCAACCTACACAGCCACTGAATGCAACCTCTCAGTGAGTGAATGCAACCTACACAGCCACTGCATGCAACCACCATATAAGGAAGGTTGCATGCATGCAACCTCACAGCCACTGAATGCAACCTCTCAGTGAGTGAATGCAACCTACACAGCCACTGCATGCAACCACCATATAAGGGAGGTTGCATGCATGCAACCTACACAGCCACTGAATGCAACCACCATATAAGGAAGGTTGCATGCATGCAACCTACACAGCCACTGAATGCAACCACCATATAAGGCAAATTGCCTGCATGCAACCTACACAGCCACTGAATGCAACCACCATATAAGGAAGGTTGCATGCATGCAACCTACACAGCCACTGAATGCAACCTACACAGCCACTGAATGCAACCACCATATAAGGAAGGTTGCCTGCATGCAACCTACACAGCCACTGCATGCAACCACCATATAAGGAAGGTTGCCTGCATGCAACCTACACAGCCACTGCATGCAACCACCATATAAGGAAGGTTGCCTGCATGCAACCTACACAGCCACTGCATGCAACCAACACAGCCACTGAATGCAACCTCCAAATAAGGAAGGTTGCAAGCACACAGCCACTGCTTGCAACCTCTTAGTGAGTGAATGAAACCTACACAGCCACTGAATGAAACCTCACAGCCACTGCATGCAACCTCTTAGTGAGTGAATGAAACCTACACAGCCACTGAATGAAACCTCACAGCCACTGAATGAAACCTCACAGCCACTGAATGAAACCTACACAGCCACTGCATGCAACCACCATATAAGGAAATAAATACACAGGGACCAGAAAGTTGGTGAAGGGAAGCAGCACAGCCACTAAGAATCCAAGAAATAAGCGACCGGTTGCTTATCTGGAGACAAGATGACTAGCAAGTAATTAGCAAAAAAAAGTGGAGTTAGCAATGACCACTGACTACCAATGACTGACTGCCAAATAGCAAAAACAAATAGGCGACTGGTTGCTTATTTGGATTGAAGATGAGTAGTGAGTTGATTAGCAAAGAAGTAGAGTACTGATGACGACCTACTGACTGAGTTGAATGATATGACTAGCAAAAAATAAGTGACCAGGTGAGAATGGGCACAATAACCCCGGTAATTGACGGTGATATAACCCCCGGATCCCCCCCCCCCCCCCCGAGTGAGAGTGGTGAGTGGGGTTGGTAGTAGTGTTGGTAGTGAAAGTGTAGTGTTGGAGGATTGTAATAGTGGTAGTAGTAGTAGTGAGGGTAGAGTAGTTGGTAATAGGAATAATAGTGTAGTGTGGGATGTTGTGTGGGATGTTAATGGTAGTAGTAGTGGTAATAGGAATAGGGTAGAGTGGAAGGATTTGAGTGGTAATGTTGGGGGTAGTAAGAGTAATAGTAGTAGTAGTAGTAGTAGTAGTAGGAATGGTAATGGTAGTAGTAGTATAGTTGGTAGTGTTGGTAATAGGAATAGAGTAGTGTGGGAAGAAATTGGTAGTAGTAGTAGTGTAAGTAGTGGTAGTGGTGGTGGTAGTAATGGTAGTGGTAATAGGAATAGGGTAGTGTGGTTGGTAATGAGTGGTGGTGGGGGTAATGGTAGTGTAGTGTGGGAAGAAAATTGTGGTAGTAGTGTAAGTAGTGTAGGAGTAGTGTAGGTAGTGTAGGGTGGGAAGAAAATTGTGGTAGAGAAAGTAGGGTATTTGGTAATAGGAGTAGTGGTGGTAATGGAAATAAGAATGTGGTGTAGATGGAAAATAGAAAAGTTGGTAGTAGGAATAGGAATAGAGTAGGGAGTGAAGAAAAGAGAGGTAGTAGTGGTGTTGTAGGTAATAGGAATAGGGTAGTGTGTGAGAATGTAAGTAGTAGTGATAGTAATGGTAGTGTAGTTGGTAATAAGGAAGTGATAATGTGGGAGGAAAAGAGTAGTAGTAGTGGTGGTGGTGGTGGTGTAGGTAGAATTGGTAGGGTAGTTGAGAATAAGAGAGTAGTGTAGTTGGAAATGTGTTGTGTGGTTGGTAGAGTTGGTAGTAGGAATAGGGTAGTGTAGGGGGAAATGGGAGGTGTTGTAAGTAGGGTAAGTAGGGTAGTGTTGGTAGTGATTGATAGTAGTAGTGTAGGTTGTGTAGTTGGTAGGAATGATAGGATAGTGTAGGATTGGGAGAGTAGTAGTAGTAGTGTAAGTGATGTAGGGTAGTTGGTAATAGGAGAATAGAGTATGGAGTAGATGGAAAAAAGAAAAGTTGGTAGTAGGATTAGGAATAGGGTAGAGTAGGTGTTGTAAGTAGGGTAGTGTGTGATAGGTAGGTGGAGTAGTTGGTATGGATGGGAATAGGAATAGGAATAGGAATAGGGTAGTGTAGGTAATAGGAATAGGAATAGGAATAGGGTAGTGTAGGTAATAGGAATAGGAATAGGAATAGGGTAGGTAGTGTAGGTAATAGGAATAGAATTAGGAATAGGGTAGTGTAGGTAATAGGAATAGGAATAGGAGTGATAGTGTAGTAAGATTGGGTGGTAGAGTTGGTAGTAGGAATAGGGTAGGATAAGTGGTAGGAGTAGGGTAGGTAGTAGGGTAGGTAGTGGGATGGGTAGTAGGATAGGTGGTAGGATAGGTAGTAGGATAGGTGGTAGGATAGGTAGTAGGATAGGTGGTAGGATAGGTAGTTGGAGTAGGGTTAGGGGGAATAGGATAGGTAGTTGGAGTAGGGTTAGGGGGAATAGGATAGGTGGTAGGATAGGTAGTTGGAGTAGGATTAGGGGGAATAGGATAGGTAGTTGGAGTAGGGTTAGGGGGAATAGGATAGGTGGTAGGATAGGTAGTTGGAGTAGGATTAGGGGGAATAGGATAGGTAGTTGGAGTAGGGTTAGGGGGAATAGGATAGGTGGTAGGATAGGTAGTTGGAGTAGGATTAGGGGGAATAGGATAGGTAGTTGGAGTAGGATTAGGGGGAATAGGATAGGTGGTAGGATAGGTAGTAGGATTAGGATTAGGATAGGTAGTAGGATAGGTAGTAGGATTAGGATTAGGATAGGTAGTAGGATAGGTAGTAGGATTAGGATTAGGATAGGTAGTAGGATTAGGAGTAGAGGGAGGTAATGTAGTTGTGATAGGATTAGGGGGAGATAAGTGTAGTAGGGGATTATGTAGGAGAGATAGGGGTTGATTATGTAAGATTTGATTATTTATTTAGGAGAAGTTAAGTTAAGAGGGTTAGGTTAGGTTAGGTTAGGTTAGGGTTAGGTTAGGTTAGGGTTAGGTTAGGGTTAGGTTAGGTTAGGGTTAGGTTAGGTTAGGGTTAGGTTAGGGTTAGGTTAGGTTAGGTTAGGTTAGGTTAGGGTTAGGTTAGGTTAGGTTAGGTTAGGTTAGGTTAGGGTTAGGTTAG